AAAAATAAGGCTTGCCATTTTAATGAGTTCCTCCTGTCATCTTGGACAACGACATAATGAAAAAGGACAAAGGAGCCATGTGGGTGTGTGGATAGGGACCCTACCCTGAGTACATACGTACGTAGGACAGAGGAAGAAGCCGGATAGAGCCTTGCCTAACCTGCAGTCACAGGTTCCCTGAATGGTAAGTTAGTCCCTTGAATACAACGGGATGATGTATTTGTGTGCTTTATTGCTTAAAGGCTGAGAGCAAGGCTGAAAAATACATTCATGACTCTCCACTGTAGAGCAATGGATATACTCTAAGCATACACAGCTAAGTCATAACGCTATCTAATATCAGGACTAGACACGGAAATGGGACAAAGCCTAACTAAGATCATGGTCGATTTTTTTTTTCTTACTCTGCAGGCCAATGTTAGACATGAGACCTTGAATCATTAAGGTGAAAGGAAGGAAAAGACTCGCCTGACTGAAACGTAAAGGATCGATTTTAATTCTCTAACCTAAACCAATCTCCGGAAAGGATATTTTTAGCACAGACCTAAAGATGCTCACCTGCGGTTTGTTTATCTTTCATCCTCTACCGGAAAGGCACGTGTTCCTAAGCAGAACTGACCATGTACACATTTCAAAATCAACAAGGACAAAAGAAGGCTTTTGTGAATGTGCTCTAGTAGCTAGTAGCGATAAAACTAACTCAAATACGCCGGAGTTGTACTATTTATTCAGCTGACTAAGAAAGTAAACCACAGGAAATGTGAGGCTCTTAAGATTGGCAGACACTATAGTCACTGGTGGGTTGAAGAGAGAAGAGGAAGCAGCGGTGGATGCAGAGGGTGAGGTTTGGAGGGACTGGGTCATCACAGTAAAGGAGACAGCTAGGGCTATCACCCTATATCATCACCCTTGTTTCCGGCATGGTAGGCCATGTTGCAAATGGTCTAACCTCTACTCTGGCTCAACTCTAGCACTGTCTTCATTTTGCCCAAAGAACTGAGGGCAGTGCTGGAAATATATCTATGACTAAATGAGAAGATTCTTGCCCCTCCAGACAAAAGAAGAGCTATGTGCTTTCTGAGAATGCCAATGTCACCTGCTTCTGAGGATCATCTTTAATATAAATTAAAAATCATTACAAGAAGGAAGCCAGCCATATATCTGAACTTGGTATTTCCCACAGACAATAATAATCACCACACACACAAGACACACATATTTTCCTTGTGAAGATGGGAGATGGCTACTCATGTATATTTAGTTCCCCCAGAAGGTAGGCTGTAATGTGTTCATACACATTCATTCAACTGGCCTTCATGACAATGTTATGAAGCAGAAGGAAGCATTCCGACTCACAAACAAGGAAACTGAGACATGAAATGTTTAAGTGTCCAAAGTCATTCAGAAACACCCATGATAAGGCTAAGAACAAATGTGGGGAGGTGGCTTCAGAATCTGTAACTGTATTGTAATGGTCAATTACAATCTGTAAATTGTAATCTGTACTGATGGCAAGGATCTGGGTTATCAAAATTTTTAACCATTTTAAAGAACAGAGAAAAATGACAAAGTGAAAAAAAAAAGAGAGGATTGAAATTGGTGTTCTTTTCTTTTGTTTGGGAGATCTCTCTCTCTCTCCTTTTTCTTTCTTCCTTCCTTTCTTTCTTCTTTCCTTTCTTTCTCCCCAATACAGGCAATTATGGGATACTGTCTATGCTCTCAGAAGATAAGTTCCCCTATGCACCAAGATCTACAGTTAAACCTGGGAAAGAAACAACAGAAATGAAAGCAAGTCGAATTCTATGCATCATGGCTGCCTTGAGCTTCCGTAGAACGCTTTGTAGATTCTTACTCCTGGAGACCTGCAACAATGACTCGAGTCCACCATCATTAGGTCACAAAACTCACATCCATGAACAAAAGCTTTATGATAGTGTGTGGATTCAGAAAGAGAAGGACATATAAGATAGTGTTTTATGTCGCAAAGACTCAGCTGCAGAGCTCTCTCTTGAGTGAAAGACTAGGTTGTTCAGGACCACTGTGCCTATCAGTCCAGCTCTTAAGTGGCCAGAAAGATTTGATGAGGGAAAATCCCACAGGGAATGGCCTTGGTACACAGCAGGAGTGTTCTGAGTGATCTCGAAAGCCAGTCCATGCACAGCTGGTTTGAGATACTGGCATAGACTTCAGTGACTGACCAATGTAAAAATCACATAGTCAGCACTCTACAGGATTTCAAGTTCTCTAGACAGACGTTTTGAAGAGCTCACACTGTGCCAACCCATCTACGTACAGAAGGCAACCTACATTCCAGCTCCCGAATGACTATTCAGGGTGATCTTGAATGAGACCTGATTTGTCTCCCAATGAACTCCAAAGCCATAGTACAAAGTCTAAACTAGTATGAGAGTTAGCTCCATGTACATGCCTTGCCTTTTGCAATTTAAGGCAACCACCAATTCTTCCTATATGACTTCTGATTCCTAAAAATAACAAAAGAAATAACATGAATGTAAAGCAGATCTAATTATCACCTGAGCCCTTGTCTCCCCAGTCTCAGAGGATAGCCAATATCCTACTGTAATGCTGCTAACAGTAAACCAACCAACAAGGGCAGGGGTGGGAGGAGGGACCCGTTTGATGCCTAGGGTGCAGGACTTTACGCCTTCCAAGAACAGAAGTGTGACAAAGGTCATGACTATGCTATTACTCAGCTCATCTTCACAGTGTATGGCACATGCTAGCTTCTATTTAAATAGTTTTAAAGTGACTGAATGGCTTTTTTGTTTTTATGGCCTTCATCACTCATTTTATTCCTTCCCTCTAAGTAGACTTAGATTCTTGAAATTCTAACCGAGGGTGACTCCGTTGGTTCCACTGTAAACGGGGTGAGAGATACAACATGCTTTTACTGAGTTTCAAGCTAGTGGGGAAGAGACCACTAGACTTGAACGCACTTAGAATTCTCCAGCATGTTCAAGAAACATCACCAGAGGATCAGTCTTTCAATCTCCATCCACCTCAATCTGTGCCCTTGCCCTTTAACCTCTTTCCACAGCACACCCAAGACCGGCACTAAATTGTGCTTTTGTCGATGACAGGTTGAGGGTTTTGTCAGCAACAGGCTCTAGATTTTGGATTAAAGATTTTAGATTTGGGGGTTAAAGATACAAAAGTCCCAAACCCCCAAATCTTCAAAATTCAAGAATTTTCTGATCTCAAACATTTTAGATAAGGGATACTCAGCCCATAGCACAGTCTCGATTAGAAAACTTCATGACTCCACAGGGGCACCACTGCCTCGGCTCTGCTCAGAGGGGAGCTGGATCCTGTACCACCCAGAGAGGGACAGTCCTAACATTGACCCACTCTGCAGATGGCTATAATGCCAAGGATTCTGTATGTCCAGAAGCCAGTCCCCAAACCAGCACTGAACACTTCACTGGCATTGCTAGATTGGTGACCCACTCTTAAAGCAGGTGACAGCAAGAGGAAGGAGGAACAGGGTGTATCAGGCTAACATGGCAATTTTGAAAGATTTCTCTTTCTAGTCTCCAAGCCAGGCCTTTAGCCTGAAAAGAGTTAACTCTTCAGCAGTTTTTGTTTTCAACCTTTCATTTTGCAATACACATTTGTCATCATAGGAAGGCAATCCAAATATGAAAGGTATACAATGAAAGCCACATGTGTGTAAAAGAAAGAAAGAAAAAGTCCTACAAAACAGAAAGCCAGAAAGACCTACAGAGAAGGGACAGAAACTTGGCATTTACTTGTTGGAACAAACACACTTGTTGGCAAAGGGTGCTTATCTTTTGTGAGGTGGTTACAGAGATTTGCAAGATAGAAAAATAAAACAATAATGACCAGAGCGAACACCTTAAGCTGTACCCAGCCTTTAGCAAATTATGTGCTGATGGTCCCTAGATAACCCCCCACCCGGCCCAAACCACACCCATCTCATCCACCATCTTCTCTTCGTTTTTATTAACACAGTCAGTTCTCTGCTGGAAAGCTACAGTAGAGGGTCACTGAATGGATGGGTTTTATTCTATTCTCAAAGTCAAAAGGAAAAAGCAGGGGGAGGTGCCATTGCCATATTACCAAGTGAAGAGTGACTCCTGAAGGCATTTACATTCTGTACAAGTGGTTTTGACTCTCAGTGCACATGGGGTAGTGGAATACGATCTGGTCATGTAAGACAGACTGACCTTCATGCCTGATGCTCTGTCAACCCAATAAGAACTCAGAGAGGAGAAGCATATAGCCAGGAAACTCTTGATTTTATATTAGATTTAAATGATAGTCTAGAAATAAAATGTAGTATTTCAATGGTAGCCATTTTGAGAGACACACCTGGGTTTAGAGAGTTCAGGAACCAGAAACTGCCCTTATTATGCCCAAATGGGACCAGACGGGAGAAATGCATAGCTCAAAAAGGAGGAAGAGATGAATCTGCATAAACCATCACCAAAGCCCAGAGATGTGGGCGGGCACATCCTCACGGAGGGAACAGCTTTATATATTACCAACATATGTGTCCTTACCTTTGATTCTCTTATTCTGAAAGCAAGGCTATTTTCACGGCAGCTTGGACCATCAGGTTCTTTCCCACACTAAGGAGCTGAAAACATCTTTTGTGTCTGAAACACCATGTATCCTTTCTCTTTCTAGAGAAGGGAGGTGGAGGATCGTAGGAGCACCCAATCTGTACTCAGAGCTTTGAGTAAAATTGATATTGAAGTAGTCTGTAATCCCTTGAAGGCAGAGTACATTGAAACCCAAAGGGAAATAAGATGGACTTTACAACCTCTCCTAAGAACCCACACCATAAATAATCCACATGGTGATCACTTAAATTCTACTTTTTCAGATTGTGGCTGCTGGCTAAAGTCATTGACATAAATACAAAGAACCTTCTAGGAATGAGAGGAAATTTTCCAGCCAACGGCCACTTCCCTCATCCTGTCAGGAGCTAGGCTAACACTGAACAGAAGACTCACCTGGAACTTCAGGAGAGAATCTCGCGGAGTGTCTAGATACGAAAAGTTTGAGCTCTTGGTCCAAGTTGCACTCGATCAGGTTTGTGTCCCATGATCGGATCCCTGTGGAGGAAAAGGAAGACAGTTGGCAGGCTTCCCGTGAGCCATCTCACTGTGGTTTGGAAAGCATCCCCATGGACTTTTCTCAGGCCTTTTTCTGTTGGGTTCCTTGGCTAGCGGTGGATGCTCACAAATGGGAAAGGAAAGACCCCTCCCCTGGGACACAAGGGAGGAAGAAACATGAGCCTGGAGTTCTGCCCCTCCTAAAACATACATGCAGCAGAGCTTTGGACTGGAAAGCAAACAGTTACTAGGAAATGACAGACTCAAGGCAGGCAGAAGGCACAGAATATGACAGTTGTGGCTAAGAGGCCCCAGTCAACCACCAGCTTCTTCTGATTCCACTACTAAGTGGCCAGTGTCAGATGCAGGTGGAATGGACAGCTGCTATTCAAGCCTCCGTCTCTGTTTTCCAGAGGATGCTCCTGCAGTGTGGGTATGTGATTTCTCCCATTCACTGGTTTCTTAATCCCTTACCCACATCAATCCCAAATTGTGTGGTCTTTGATAAGCAGGTGGAACACAAGGTTTGGTCTAGGGGTCCTATCAGTCATTTAATTTATTCAGTCAGTTGGTCAGGGAGCACTTTTCATTTACAATTGTTGAGTTATAGTGATTTTTTTTAATCCAGGAGAACTTTTTTTACATGATAAAACTCTGGTAGTTTGGGAGTGGGCATGAACTTCCTTGCATTAGCCCGGAAGGAGCAATCAAGGGCCAGAGTAACCCACAGTTAAGAATCAGAACGATTGTGGTTTCCAGTGCTAGCCATAACTCCTTGATCTCTTCTGTACTCTTCTCTCTCTCTCCTCAACCCAAAGGAGGTGTCTACAGAGAACAAGCTATGAGAACCCCGGACAGAAGCCAGGAAAGCTGTGAGTCTCAGAAGCCTAGACAACATCTGTGTATGTGTGTTCACATGTATGTGTGTATGTGTGTTCATGTGCATGTGTATTCATGTGCATGTGCTTAGACATTCCCCAACAGACTGCTCATGATGGAGTCAGCACAGAGCACCAGGACTGTACACTGGTGTGAACATCCTTGACTGCCAGAAACCAATTTCTGAGCCAACAAATATTTATTATCAAACTCCTAAGACAGGCTTGAGCCCTTAGGTGTATAGCTGCAAGAAAACTATCTCTAACCAAAAGGCCAATGATCAATTGATCAACATTGATTGATTAGTATTTGTGCCATCAGCCTAGAGGGTTTACATGGCAGTGCATGACACCCACCTCTAAATCCTTAATGTCTGCCTCCATTTACCACCATTATGTTCCTATCTTAGGGGGAATCATGTCCATTATACATATAATAAATATGTACAGCACATATCTTAATTATATGTCATATTTTGCTTAAAGATATATTAGATATAGACCCTTTAAAAGATTGTACAGCTCAGTTCACTATACATGAAAAGATATCTTCAAATTCATTTTCTCTCTCTTTTTTTTCTCATTTTAATTTTTATTTATTATTATTTTTTTGAGACAGGGTCTTACTACATGGCCAAACCAGCCCAGAACTTGCTCTCACTAGTACAGGTGGCCTTGAAATTCTAACTCCGATGCCTGAGCTTCTAGATTAGTGGACAAAGACCTTTTCCATCAGAGGAACCTTCTCAAACAGCTGTGTGCCCCTTAGACAGAAGGAGAATTTCTCATAGGAATAGCGGGAAAGATTCAGATGAGAAAGAGTTAACATTCCTAAGGAGAGGCTAAATTATAAGGGAAAATTTTATGAGTCTCCCTGGAAACATTAAATGGCCTCACTTTGCATTTGTGCTAATGGAATATTTAAATTTTAACAAGAAAAGCATGTTGAGAGTTTGTGGGTCTTTTTAGTGGAGAAATGATAAATGGCTTCTTTTTGTTCCCCACAGAGCTTGACAGGTTGAGAGGTCTGAATTCATTAGAATATTTTACTTCAACATATACACTCTGTACTAGCCTCGTGTGCAAAGCCATTGAGTTCCTGTCGGAGTGGCTTAATTGGGACCATTGACAGAGCTCCATTTTGTCTCCTGGCTTGTCAAGCCAGGTCAATAAGTTAATAATGAGACATATGTATTTAAATTAAATTCATACTATTTTTCCATCTTTGTTCTAAGTAATGTCTAAATGGCTGCTTTATTTGAATGACTTTGTATGGGGTTGGGCACCCACTTGCTCTTGCGCTGATCTTTGCTATTTCCCCCCTTGTCACGACACCAGTGGTGAATTGTTCATTTTATATTCATTTATGTCTTTTACACTTATAATTTGACAACAGAAAAATGCTAAACTTTAAAAACTCCATTGAGTTGATTTTTTTTTAATCAAACCAGTAGACAGTTGGTAAAAATAACTTCCGGTGTGTAAACTGCCAGTGAAAGAAAAAAATTCAAGGTTCTCTCTTTCTGAGAGAGCAATTTCCAGTCAAAATATTTCTTAACGATGTACAATTGGTGCTTTGGTTTATAAAATAAAGACTATATAGACTCCTTGGTTACTTTAGTTGGAAATGAACACTTTGGAGCCTTATCAGTTTTAGAAATAAAACACTTAGTAATGAGTTGGTCCCTTACGTTGGGTTTTGCTAGTAAAGGGGACATTCACAATGAAGACTGATTGCTTTTGATTGTATTTCTGTATCTCCCCTTCATGCCTAACTGGGAGCCAAAGCTGGAGCCCCTGATGTTGATAAACCCTTTCCATGTTCTTTCTCCCTCTGGACTCTGCAGCCAGAGAGGGGATACCTGGGTGTTGTTAAGAGGTTCTGAAGGAGATTCTGAAGCAGGCAGAACATGCTGTATCTTCTTCATCCTCTTTTCCAAGTATTCTCTATTTCTAAGGGCAAGCTCTTGATTAAGGCTTTGATTTTGTAGCCATCTAAGAGGACTTCGTCCTTCCTGGATTACGCAGGGGCTAACAACTGGAGCAGCTAGAGGTAGTAAATCTCTGTATTTCAAATGCCTGGCTAGGTTCAAGGGGCATCAGGCACTGGAGAATGCTCTAGGCTGCTCCAGGATTCTGGCTCCACTCTGGGAGGCAGGCACTGTCCTGTGTTTATCCCAGGTGGACAGGAAGCATCAGGCCGTGTTTTCTTTTCGTTTCTCTCACCCCATGTGGTAGCGATGCACAAAGAAGCAGCCGTGCACGTAGTTTTTAACAGAGGGAAAAAGAAGGGGAAGAGTATTTCAGAGCTAGTCGGGGTAAGGAAGGAAGATGCGCATCGCATCCTGGGTCTTCCGGCTGGATTATGCAAAGCTTACCCTGATCTTGTAGAAACTTTTTGCACAATAAAACCAAAAAGCACCTCTCCTTTAGTGGATGAAAACTGCATATTTCTAGTAGAAGCAGCAGACCAAAGAAAGGAAAATGAATGGACAACACCATGCACGTTGATGCTCAGACATTCTGTGCATGTGACCGCTACTTGGACCTTTGACAAGTTATTTTCCTCAATGGGCTTTTGAGTATTTCTTATAGGTATCTGAATGATCAGCCTATAATCCTATGATTATACCTAGAAGGTAACTTGAACCTAGGATAGGAGCATAAACCAGAGAAGCAGCTAAAATGCTTTTTAGAGAAAAGATTTCCCAGCTTTCCTTTGACCTAACCTTTGGTTTGCTTTTCTCTTTACAAAGCCAGTGATTTAATGTTCGTCACATATTTGTGAGTAATGTAAACAATGTCTTATGTGGACAGTGCACCATTTTAGAGTATTGGCAATAAAAAAAAACCCTCAAGTCTCAGATAACATCTTAGAATAGAAGCAATAGTCATCTATAAGAATTTATCTCTAAGTCTAAAAGTTAGACATTACTTTTTAAAGCAAGCCTTAGGGAAGGTTCACAATACAGCATCGATTTAACGACCTTCCATTTGAGGACTAACTAGCTTGTGTCTCAGCTAGGCTCACAGAGCCCTTGGTGGTAACACCAATTAGGCAGCACAAGCAAAAACCCATCTGCCTCCTGACTTTGGAAGTGTGAAGACGAATATAATAAATGTAACACATTCTAGCATCTCTTTGTCTCCAACCATATATGGTTTTCATTTTTTTTTTTCCCTTTGGTAGAAGACAATGAAAATTAAATCCCAAAGCTTTTCTGGGTTCTTAAATTTTCTTGCTTACAAATTTGGACAGAACATATTCAGTAAAGCAGCATTGGACTATTACAATGTAACCAGATTAACTCACACCTAAAGATCCAAGGCAGTGGGCATTATACTTATCTATCTTCTCATAAGCACATCTTGCTTATTTCCCATGTCACCTAGAGGGACAGTGGCCTTCTAATCGTAATTGAAAGCATCAGACTGACACTTAACATTCATTAGATGGCTTGGTTTCTTTAGAAAGAATGGCACGAACTGATGAAAACTCACTGTACCATGCTTTAAATTTCAGTCTGATGGGTATTTTTGTATAGAGTCTAGATATTAAAATATACTCAGATGTCAGCATTTTGCTAAGAATAAGGATATCAAGCTACCTCCACATTGCGGACAATTAGGAAGGGACAAATGCATCAGTTGATGGTGTCCCTGATAGTTTGGGATCAAGTTCTATATAACTACATCAGTGTAGATGAATCCGTGCAAGTGAGCACTATTGTTTGAAGCTCTGGAGAAGAAATGATCAACCCTGACTTTGTGCTTTTGAAACACAGTTGAGCAAATAAGAGTGAGCATTCTTCTTCCTTGGTCTCAAGAAGCACTAAGCATCCACACTGGGGTGTTTCAGGCCTGTTGATTAACTGAATTGTTTACCACCCTTCTGCAGGAGTCTAGAGTTATTATTTATGTATTTATGTATTTATTTATTTATTTATTTATTATTTCCTTTCCAGAGTGCTCTGAGTAATCAATCAGAAGGCAAATATGCCAGACTCCAGGGTCTCCAGCTACACAGTGCCTCAGTTTGAATGGGAAAGGAAGAGGAAATAAGAAAGGCTAACAGACGAGAGAGAAGCTGTTTGCCCAGCCCTCGGGGAGCTCACAATCAGAGCTTGAGCCCCCTGGTGCAGCTTCTTCTTGCTTCACACAACATAGCCTGCAGGCACCAGCAACAATAGCAGTGGCACCATAGTGACCTCTGGAGGAGGCCCAGCTGGGATCTGCCAGCTGAAGCAGCAGTGTGCCCTGCCAAGGAAACAGAGCCTGCTCGCCCTGTTGCTAAGTCATCTCAGACCATCTGAAAAGCTGGGGAAGCAGGATTTTCACTTATCCTTGAAACCCGGGCAGTGTGAGCTGCATCGGAGACCCTGGGACCCAGGAGAGCACTCTCTAGAGGATCAGCAACATCTGTTACTACCCTGGAGGAAATGGCTCTGTTCACACACTTGGTTGATTCTTAATGAGATCGATATAACCATTTCAGAAATCCACAACCCCTCAAAAAAAAAAAAAAAAAAAGAAAGAAAGAAAAAAGAAAAAAAAAGCTGATCAAATTAGGCAATTAAAAATCAGAAAAGCATGGTGATTGCAAAATGAACATTAGGGTTGGTGGGTGGGGTGACGTCTGAGATCCTAGCAAATGGCTTTCTTAGCTGGACAACACAGGTGTCCTCACTCTGAAAATTCAGTGAACAGTTCCTCTATGGGCTGTGCCTTTTCCTCTCTCTCGAATACTTTCTCTCTCTCTCTCTCTCTCTCTCTCTCTCTCTCTCTCTCTCCCTCCCTCCCTTTCTTTCTAGTGTTAAGAAGACAAATCTGGAATTTTAGGACTAAATGCTAGTAAAACCAGGACGTACAGCACAAAAATCCTTGACTGCATCTATTTTTCCCCTCCAACAGAAAGAAGCTTGAATAAATCCTTGACCAGAATACCTAAGGAAATGATCAAACCCAGTAACAAAGCGGGAAGATAAATGTGGTTGCAAGGTGATGGCTGAGCCGCCTCCCTGCACCAAGAGGTGCCCACAAGTACATGACTTGTCAAAGACAAGGTCGGAAAACTGCCTGCTGAATCTGTGATGTTAGCCTGCTGGCACTCCCATCCAGACTGGATCACGCAAGTAGTGACACTGCGGTACCCGTCCTCCTGTCACTGGTTTGCTCCATGACCTTGAGTCTGTCCCTCACTCTTCCTCCCTCAGGTCTGTCCGCAAGCTCTAAAAATGGGCGTGATGATTCCTCTCCTGGCACCACAATGGGTGGTTCTGAAAATTCTGGAGATGAAAAAGCACTTCTTAATGGACTATTTCCCAGAAATATTAAGTTAAAAATGATTTTAAAACAGTCATTAATTCTCACAATAGCCACACCCAAAGTCAATACTTGTGAGCTTTTCCAAGGATAAAAACGTGCAAATAAACTAAGTTTGAGGAACAGATCAAAAGCCCGTAGTCTGAAAATGAAGGATTACTGAGACGTTCAGAAAAAGCATTCCACTTCTGAAATCTCTTATTCTTGGTCTTCCCCTCAACTCCCAGATGAAAAATCACGGCAGGCTTTCTGCTCACTTTTTTTTTCTCTCTCTCTCTTTTAAGCTGAAAGGGAAAATCCGTGCTTTAAAGTTAAACAAAAGAACCGGGTCTGCAACTCCAATCCCCACCCCGAAGCCTTTTGTTCTGGGGACTAGTAGCCATTTCCAAATGCAGAGGCAGGTGACAAGCTTTTGTTTATTTATTTATTCATCTAAACCAAAACCATTTCATCCATCTTTTATTGGCGTGTGGGAGGGAGAGGGAAAGGAGGACTGCGTGAACGCCCTTTGTCCGCCTCGGGCTGCCGTAGAGACCGCAGTGCGGACTGCACCACGCCCACCAGCCGGTGTCTCCTGGCAGAAACGTTTCAGCACCACCCCAAGAGAATAGAGGCTGGAGCTGTACCCGGACCCGGGGGCTTCTGCCACGGATGAAGGGAAGGGAGGGATGCCGAGGAGGGCGGAATAAGGCAGAGGCTAGAGCTGCCCACCTGGGGGGTGGGGAGCGCAACAAAACCGCTTGCAGTCAAAGGTGGGCGCAAGGCTCGGCCAGAGCGAGCTCCGTGCCAGCCGGGGGCGCCGCAGTGCGGGGGCAGGTGCGGCTGTCCAGCGCGGGCACTGCGGCAGGCCGGGTGGGGCTGAAGGGCGGGCCGATCGTCGCCCGCCCAAGGCTGTGCCCTCCTGGACCCTCCCAGCCCCGCCCAGGGCTCCCCGGGAACCGCTATTCCGATACCGCAGAGCCCGTTCCTGGTGCGCGCACCAGCCCAGGAGCTAACCCTACCCTACCACCCCCTCCTCCCATTCAAGTTATGGACCCTGAAGCTGAGACTTTTCAAAGAAGCCCACCCCCGCAACCTGGGGTCCCATTGTCCTTTCTGAAAGCTGCAGCCAGGACTTCAGGGGCAGGAGCGAGGCAGAGCTTCGTCTAGAAACAGAGCGTAGACGGGTTCCACGCCTGTATCCTCGGGGGCTGGGGGGGGGGACCGGGCGTGGCCCTAGGACTAGCCTAGTCATTCCCAGGAAAATAAAGGATCGGTAAGTTTTAAGTCAGAAAAGGCATTCTTCATTCTCAGAGGGGTGTGTGTGTGTGTGTGTGTGCGTGTGTGTGTGTGTCGGGGGCGGGGAGCACGAGGTGACTGTGATAAAGACGATTCCCATGTGGGCCTTGGCACATGGTGTTTTGACCCCAGGTTATCCGATAAGGGGAGGTGGGTCCCAGCCTTTAGCTAGGGCGAGAGCGGAGCTGAAAGAAGAGGGTTTGCTAGGTTCACCCCACCCTTTCTCCGCCTGCGGTTGCGGTTTTATTATGGCCTCCGCTCCGCTGACACCTGCATTTCACTGAGCATGAGAGGAGGTGGCCAAGTCGGCGGTGGCCACGGTCCTAGCCAGGTGACCCATCCCCCAGGGCTATTATAAAGATTCTCTCTCTGGATCTCAAATAAAAATAATTTAGAAACTAGCTCAGAAAAAGAGTCCAGATGGAGTGTGGGAGGTGGCCCGGAGAGGCGTGGGTGCGGGGCGTGCGGGAGAACAAGGTGGCCGTCGCGCCCTGGGTGGGGTCGTGCTGGCGCGTCTCCCCACTCACGCCCCTGGGGGGCCTCGGGACCGCTTACCCAGCTCGATGTTGCCGATGGCACGCCTCAAGTGCTCTTCGGTCACCGTCTCGCCGACCACCACCAGCAAGTAGAACTTGCTGTCTAGGAAGCGGTGCGACAGGCTGGGCGAGGTGGACGCCGCCGGGTTGCCGATGCTGCCCGATGGCTCCGGCTCGGTGGCTTCCACCACCACGGTCGCCATCCTGCCGGCTCTGCTAAAGCCTGGGAGAAGTGTTCCTCTCCCGCCGCTCCTCTGCTCTGCGGCAGGAGAAAGGATTATCTCCGAAGGTGCTGTCTCTGCTCCGCCCCCTGCGTCCCCCCTCCTCCCGGCGCGCGTCGCCTCCCCCTCCGCCCTCTCCCTGCGCGGAAGAGAGGAGCGGGGAGTGAGAGGCCGGGTAGGCGGTGCCGTTTATATGGAGACTAGGCTAGGAGCCTGAGAGGAAGAGGAGGAGGAAAGGACCACCCGGCACGTCCTCGTGGTGGCCGCCTCCACTCCTCCAGCCTTTAGCCCAGGGCTGATGTCATCTGCAGCAAATCATTTCGCCGGCGGCCCGGAAGCTGGAAGGACGAGGTGTGTGGACAATGGTCTGGGCAGGGCCAGGAGCCAGGCTCTGGGGGACCCAGAGAACTCTGCTGCAGCCCCGAGGGGGTCTGCACCACCACCTTTACATACACACACCTTCCTTGCCCCAAACCATCAAGCTGGCTGTACCGGGTCGTGGGGATGACTTCCTGTTTCAGATCGGGAGTATGTCCTGAGTCGGATTGCACATCTTCAGGCCTGTGACTGTGTCCCATCCACGTGAAGTCAGAATTTTAGCAGCTGCTGCAGTCGCAGTGGGCGCTGGGTTGAGGGTACCCCGCCCAAGAACACAAACTTGTCTTTTTGACCTTGTAGATATAGAAAGGCATATTTGTCCATTTTTTAAAAAACAATAGGAATATTTATCACCTTCGCTTAAAAGAGACTTTCCAAGATCTAAGTCTAATTTGTTCAGACTTTGGAGTCTAGTCTGGGAGGACAAATACTGAAAAAGAACTGGCCTTTGGTGTTCATGGGAAATGAATGAGAAGAGGCAGACATATTATGCTAGATACAAATTTCTTTTCTTAATATGCTGAACAGATAGCATCAGGCATAACAAAGAATAGAGAAGATACTGTCTCTGCCCAGCAGGATTACAGCGACTATAATGTGCTTTTCAGTTCCTTGGGGGATAACACAGGCAAAATTATTTTGTGTGACAATGAGGTCTTTTAAGATAACATGTAGCTTTGGGAGTTTTTATTGCCTTTGTCTATATTTAGAAGAACTCATAATAATGTTTCTAAAGGCCATCGTAAACATTCATTTCTCACAAATCTAATGAATACATTTCTGTATTAGGGCAGAAGAGTAGGGCCAACACCTCACCATCATAAAAACTGGTGACCGTTTTAGGGGAGAAAAATAGATGGAATTAGATGGAATAGGAAAAATAGCCTTTTTCTTCATCTAATATAACTAATATTGGAGTATATACTAGTTTTAATTTGTATTAAATATAACATGCTAAATAATAGTTCAGTATATACTAGTTAATATACCTTTAACACTGGAGTATATACTAGTTTTAAAATAGCAACTGGAGGGGCTGTAGCTCTGCTGGTAGACTTCAAACCCATGCCAGCACCATAAACACTGAGCAATGTAGTCCCAGCACTCAGGTGGTACAGACAAGGAGGATCAGAAGTTCAAGATTATTCTTAGCTGATGAGTTCAGGATCAGCCTGGACACATAAGAAGACTCTGTTTAAAACAAAACCTATCGTAAGTCTTTCACAATAACCCAGTGTCTTAGGTGTTGACTCCCATGATTTACCTGTCATAGGCCTTTTTTGCTTCATTTCTTTCTTGAAGCCTGGCTAGAAGATACTTGGTGAGCAGCCAAAGACTCCACTAGTCTAATCAGTGGTGACTAAAGATAACGTCTGACCTATGACACTTGGGGTCTGCAATAAGCTTGCTGCAGAGACTTGGTCACAACTGAACAAGTTTAAATAGGACAACCAGTTACTCTTAGGAAAGAACAGCAGGATGATCCGTGGTGGAGGTGAGGTGGCGAAGAACATCCTTCTGGAGATCAGCCATCAGAATGGCTTCACCTAGTGAGTTTTCCTCTATTTCTCTGAACCGACATTACTCCTGTGCGTATACAGGTATTATGTTGCTTTGTGTCACAAATTCTTGTGAGAGGTTGTTTTTTGGGGGTGGGGGTGGGGGAGATTGATTTCTGCTCACAGCTTCCTAAGTTTCAGACCATGCTCTGTTGCTTCCATTTCTTTGGTCCTGAGGTAGGACCAAACATTGTGGTGGAGGAACTGTGCAGTGGAAGGGCTGCTCACCTCTTCGAGGCTAGGAAGCAAAGATACTTCTCTTTTATTCTATTTGGGCCCAGCCTATGAGGTGCTGCCGTCCACATCCAGGGTGGTTCTTATCCCATTAGCTAATCCTCTCTGGAAACACCTCAACAGACATATCCAGAGCTGTGCTTTACTAATAACCTAGGTGTCTCTCGACCCAATCAAGTTAATCAAGTTGATGTCAGTGTTTCTTTACCTCATTAATTTATTTTGGAAAAAAATTCCACATTTTTGTGTTCGAGGAAATACATATCACAAATAAATAGGAGGCAACTCTGTAAATATACAGAATGAAAATAAGATAATTAAATTTCTGCTATATACTATTACTATATGCTCAAGACTGAGCCTGGGGTATGCATTATCTAAGATGAAAAAGTGAGACATGTTGAAATATCCTAACACATAACTGAATTGTTCCATATCTTGCAATAGATTGTTAGATAAAAGATGCAAGAAGCCAACGAGACGACTCAGTAGTCATCTTGCCGCCAAGCCTGGGGACTTACTAAGTTCAATCCCAGGACCCACACGATGAGAGAACAGACTGCCTTACTTGTCCTCTGACCTCCATGCACATTAGTTAATTAATTAAATAAAATGCAATAGAAGAAAGAGCTTCCTCACTGTGGTGCTCTGTCCAAGATAGCCAGGACAAGGAACCACCACATTCTTCACCCACCCTTTGCAATCCAGGGACATAATGGCACAACGCAGACTAGCAATGGCTACTTTACATGAAGTCACCTAACTTGGCTCTTTTTTATGTCCAGTTCCTCTGTTGCAGAAGTGGGAGGAACTGGATCTTCGTGACTGTGTGAGGGAAGAGTAAAGGATAGATGTTGGTATCAGGCTCCGAACCCAGTGACATCACTTCTAAGCGACCCCCACATCATTGCCAAGGCAACCACCATACACTCCCAGAATCCACCTGGCTACCTCACCTTTACCTGGGAGAGGCTACATCACCCATATAAAACAGGCAGAACCCTCTGACCTCACTCTCTTCCTCCATCTTCTTCTATTTCTTTCCCCCACCTTTGCCCTATCTCCTGAATAACCCCCCACCCCTTGGAACCATTTGGTCTGGTGTGGTCTGTACTAAACTGTGCACAGACGTCTAACAATAGAGACTTCAGAAGCACTTAACCCAGTGTAGGGAACAACCTAAGTAAGCATCAAGACATGGCTGATTAAATGACACCCCCACCCCCACTTCCTTAGACAATGAGTAAAAGTAGCCTTACAAAATGTTCAGGTGACCCCTCCACCAACACCACTGGGAGAAAAACAAAAATGAAACCCAAATATGGTCAGCCCCTCTTCTAAATTAGAAAAGTCCCCACTCCCAAAGGAGATAGTTGCAAAAAGAAAGAAAACGCCCCATAAAGAAGCCTGCCCGTACCACCTGAGTCCCCCAAAGGCTCTGCAAACTGCTTAGGCTCCAGGCCTGAATCACCTTTACCCTCTAGAGCTGATCTCACATGTCCGTTCCATTGAACAGTAGAACCATCTATCCCACACTGCAAGGTGGAAACCCACACACCTGGGACACTTCCCTGCACGAGCATCCAGCTCTGCATGGACAGGCAGCTCTTCAAGTGCAGCCAGTGCTACATGGAGTCTGCTGGGATTCACTTTCACCTTCTAGATGTCTCCTCAACCATCCACTTCACTCCATTATCACAGCCCTAGTCCTCGCCATTATGAGAGGTACTATATATAGGTTTAAACGAATTCTGGGGTAAAAGTCTCCTTCATCCAGCCATGCTGGCGATGAACTGGGGGCCTGTAGTATGCTGACACTCCCTGACGTCATGATTTATTAGCTGTGTGACTTTGGTCAGGGTTCTTAAGCCCTCTGTCCTGTTTTCTTCTTGTATGTAGTGGCAATGAGTACCAACCTCCTGGACATAGGGCTAGATAGGGGTTTGGGTCATTTGTTGTTGCCATGCTGGGGATGAAACGCAGGGCTGTGCTCCTGGTAGGCAGGCACTCTGGCTGGTTGAGGTTCCAACCCTACCCAAGGTTTAAACAAATGCTTAAAAATGTCTTTTACGTATGTAGTAAGCAGTCAATACAGATTAATTGGTGCTTTATTGTTACTTACCATTTAGTATAGACAATTTCAAATGTGTGAATTAGACAAGTTAATACAAGATTATAATTATTAGGGATGATGTTTTTAATACTTTACTTGTTTATGTCAAAGTCAAAATAAGTACTATATATTTAAATTTAAATCAACCAATTGTTGTGTTTGTTTGTTTTTTTTTGTTTTGAGATGAGGTCTCTCTACATGGCCCTGGCTGTCCTGGAGGTCACCATGTAGACCAGGGCTAGCCTCGAACTCACAGAGACCTGCCTGCCTCTACCTCCTGAGTGCTGGGACTAAAGGTGTGCGTGTCCAACCACCTGACAGAGTTTTCAAATTCTTGATAACTAATGAATTAGGTAATGACCTAATGAAAATCATAAAATGAAGCCACTATAATCTATGAAATAGAGTAAAAAAACCCCAAACAATCAAATCTGATCAATTTTTTAATTAATTAACTGACTTAGAGACAAGTGTCTCATATAGCTCAGGCTAGCCTCCAACTTGCTGCCTAGCTGAGGATGACCTTGGACTTCTGTTTCTCTTTCTCCTACCTTCCAAGAGCTAGGCTCAAATCCAAGGCCTCACTTATGGTAGGGGAGCACTCTACCAACTAGGCTGCCTTAAGACCTCTGGTAGAGAGCGTAGATCTCCCCAGTAAGAAACAAAAATCTCCAGAGACAGAGAAGTATTCAGTAATGAAATATTCATGCGCCCAGCAAAATTCAGACTTTGTGAAACTCTTGAAGACAAATGATTCTTCAACAAAAACATTATAAGGAAAGCAAGAAGCATTGGGGAACACAGAGTAAAGATTAACAATGGGAACAGGGTGTTCTAGGACAGCTAGAACTACACA